ACTTATATCATGATTTGATTTTTCTTTGGCCTACAAATCAATTCTTTTCTGTGGAAAATTCTTTTGACTTTGTCACTCAAATTGTGTGGCTTTTAGAAGGCAATGTGACGTGTGGGATGGGCTGCAAATTTTGAAACTAAACACTCAGCGAATTGATCCATCAGAGAAGATAAAATAATGGTGTCATTCGAACAGACTTGGATAATTGATCCGGCAACAAGTCTTTCAGTCATTTGCCAAGTTGATCCCTTCAGCCTCATTTGTTACGGAAGATTGTCTTAGCATGAACTTTTCTCATAAATTGTCTTGGCTTGAATTGGCTTAAGTTGAATAACACTTAACCGATGTTTGGTGATGCTTGGATTGGGACTAAATTTAAATTGATTAAAATATTAATAAATAGGATGATATATTTCAACTTATGTTCTTCTGTACAAACGTGGGTTAAAAATATTCCAAAGTTTTATTTAATAAGGTTTATTTTTTAGGTATATACGGGTTTTAAATTTGAGGGAATTTTTTTCTATTTAAGTGAGTTTTTTTGCTATATTTGAAATATTTTACAAAAACTGACATTTTTGAAATTAAGGATCAAGTTTTGGCTGTTTTTTTATCAATTCTCCTCAATTTTCTTAGATAACACTTGCATATGATGGGTATACTCTTTCATTTATCAAAATACCATTATGCAAATTAACTTCATAATCAAAACTGATGCATAAAGAGGATTGAATTGCAAGATAATTCGGTGGGAGGAAATCAAAAAAATACATTCAAGAACCAAGGCTTAGTACACCTCACACATAACACTTTAAATTATAAATATGGGTAATTTTGGAATGCAAAAAATATAATAAATCAGATTTTGAGTTATATTAGGTGACTGCTTAGTTGGATCCTAGTCATCGGTATTATTTGAAAAAATTACGTATTTTAAATAAATAAAAATAAAAGGAAGGGTTGTAGATGATTTTAAATGAATTTTAAGGGTGTAACCTCAATTTACTTAGATGACACTCGCATATGATGGATATACTCTTTCATTTATTAAAATACCATTATGCAAGATTAGGACCTAAAGTTCCTTAATCCTCGTCATACAACTACATCAGGACCTGGAGATCCTTGATGATGATACAACTACATCAGGACCTGGCTTCAGCCCGAAGGCGCTGACGTCAGCGAGCAAAAAAAATTCAAAAAATTTTAAAAAAAAATCGAATACCAAAAAATTATGGATGTTTTTCCTATAAATACATAACAATTTTATTCACTTTCTACACCAAATCCTCATACAAACTCTTCTTCTTCCAATATTTGTAAATTGTAATTTTTTTTTCTTGCATTTGTAAATTGTTTATATTTTCTTCCATATATTTTTTTTCTTGCATAATCATTTTATTTCTTACATTTCTAAATTGTTTATATTTTGTTGCATATTCTTTTTTTTTTTCTTGCTCTTGACCTAGCCTTTTTGGGTGGAACCAAAAAAGGCAAGGCTATCACTATTCATGTGAAGATGCTCTTAGAGCACTTCCACTCATTTTCTATGACAAAAAGCAAGGGCAAGTAATGACAGTTACTGTTCACATAAATAGTATATGCCTTATCAATTTTTTTTTTTTGGTGCTATTCTACTTATTGCAATGGCAACTCAAGAACAATTACTATTCACATAAGATTTTATGTATGAGATTAATAAATAAAATTTTTCTAGGTATGTATTTTTTTTAAAAAAAATTTGAATTTTTTGGTAATGTTTAAGAAATTGTTTCGATTTTTAAATTTTTTTTTCTTTACTGACGTCAGCACCTTCAGACAATAGCTCGGGCTATCTTGCCTTGGGCCTTGCCAGCTCTTGCCCGGGGCCTTTTGCCTGGGCTGGGCTCTTGGAATCCATTCGTCCAAAAAAATCCTCTCCGAACCCAATATCATCGTTCCCCTTGTAGTCTCCCTCATATGCCCTAGATTGCTCATCTGCTGTCGGCGGTCAGGTACTGTTCTGTAGCAGCGACGTCGTCTATCAGGTACTGTTCTCGCCTCTGGAACTGAGTCGTTAAATCTTTCGTTCCAGGTCGATACCGTACCGCAATTGGGTACGCTCGATCCAGATCGAAATTCATAGGGGGTGAGCGAATTAGGCAACTATGAGGTGCACTGACTGAGATACGAAGCAAACTGGGGTTCATTATGTTTCTGTTAGATAGTTCTTAACACTTTTTTATTTTGTATTATGTTATTTATGTGATTATGGTTTTATAGATTCTTGCCGAGGCTTCCCCGTGAATTTTGACAACAAACCGCGAGCGACAAACTCTCTGCAACCATGGTTCGTTCTCCATCTCTCTCTGTCTGTGTTAATTTTTCTCTAGCTTTCATATTGTTCAGGACATGATTTCATATGGTATACTATTGTTGTTTGTGAAATACAGCCGCAGGGAGATTACATAGAGCTTCACAGGAAGCGGTATGGGTACCGACCAGACCACTTCGAGCGAAAGCGCAAGAAGGAGGCTCGTTTGGTCCACAAGCGTTCAGAGACTGCCCAGAAGGTCATCAATTCTCTCCTTTTCTTCTATTTTCCTTAAAAGTTAAAAATCGAAGTGAAATTTGTGCTTATTCTGTTTCTTTCGAATGTTTGTCATGGAACAGGCTCTGGGTATCAAGGGTAAGATGTTTGCTAAGAAACGCTATGCAGAAAAGGCTCTCATGAAGAAAACGTGAGTTCTATTATGCGGATCTCATTCCAGTTTATCATTGTGTTCTGTTGATTATTCTCTGAAAAACTACTCATTAACTCTTTAAGTTTCTTAGAAATGATATCTTCTTACTTAGTAGCTTTTCATGTAGTCAACCATATTCCCTTAGATTGTTAAGATAAATCTCTAAGAACTTACAATTGCATTAAATTGATGCTTTTAACTTTTATTTTTCATATTGCACTGGTGGCATGATTATTAATTTGGTGTGACATATACACCTTGACATAGCTACATTCATATTTACAACTGTATGACTCTACGTATACACCTAGACATAGCTACGTTCACATTTACAACTGTATGACTCTACGTAAGTTTATTTGCTTCTTTTTATTGTTTCTAAATGTCTATCATAGGTAGTTTGCCTGTATGTCAATACCTCGGTGTATTAGATTTGTGTGCATGCAACTGGTGAATTATATTTATGTAAAATAAAAGTATTGTTTGTGAATGTCGACAGGTTGGCTATGCATGAGGAGTCATCAACTAGGCGCAAGGTGGATGATGATGTTCACGAAGGAGCTGTTCCAGCATATCTTCTGGATCGTGACAACACAACACGTGCAAAAGTAATATGTGCTAGCTAGTATTGATTTTATGGAAATATATTTCATCATGTTTTTTATCTAACATTATGCTGGAAACAGATTCTCAACAACACCATCAAGCAAAAAAGGAAGGAGAAAGCTGGGAAATGGGAAGTCCCTCTACCCAAGGTAAGAACATCTGCCACATTCTTCCTTTAGCCTTCTGTGTGAATGAATTTTCGGTACAGTGCAATAGCATTTCTCTTTTGTTAATCTTGATATAATTTTCTGACTGAGTTATATCTTCTCCAGGTAAGGCCTGTGGCTGAAGATGAGATGTTTAAAATTCTTAGATCTGGAAAACGCAAGAGTAAGTATTCTTTAACTTTTCCTCAATATTCCCATACCAACCACCAGAGTCTTGGCTGGTTTTTCCCCTAAATTTATGATTATTAATTAGGCTTATGAGAGTTAGATTTCCCTCATAACGAGATGAAGTTATTCATTATCTTGATTTTTTCATGGTAAGCTTGTATAAATAATATTTAGGATATGTGAAAACTGATGCCAGTATTTTCATTAAATTTGTTGTTTTGGTTCCTGGCAGCTTATATACTTGGTTCTGTTTTGTAGCCAAGCAATGGAAGAGGATGGTAACAAAAGCCACATTTGTAGGACCTGGTTTCACGAGGAAACCTCCAAAGTATGAGAGGTTTATCCGGCCCAGTGGATTGCGATTCACCAAAGCTCATGTGACACACCCTGAACTCAAGTGCACTTTTAACCTTGAGATCATTGGTGTGAAGAAGAATCCTAATGGTCAAATGTATACCTCTCTCGGTGTCTTGACCAAGGGAACCATCATTGAGGTACCTCATTTGTTATGTGATGATTTATTGCATGTATAAAGCCAATCCACGGTGTATTTCATTATTTACTCATCTATTCTGTGGATATCAGGTGAATGTAAGTGAACTTGGTCTAGTCACACCTGCAGGGAAAGTTGTATGGGGTGAGTTCAACCTTTATGTAGCGTTTTGCTATCATGCACACTTTTAAACGTGGATTCTTTAGATTCTGACTTGTGTTGGAGAATTTAACTTTTGCTTTGTGATCGATGCAGGGAAATATGCTCAGGTGACAAATAATCCAGAGAACGACGGATGTGTAAATGCAGTCCTGCTCGTTTAAGAGGGCCACTCGATGAGCATCACTGAATTGTGGAGTGGACTTCTGGCGTTGCATCTGGTATCCATGTCGCATCATGCACCGCCAGCCAATATGTCCTCACCCCTAATGTTTTTGACACAAATATATATGGTTTTAAACTGAGAGATCGAATGTTTATGCCACACAATTTTGTCTCTAGAACCTGAATGTTGAGTGCATATTGTGGCTAATTCAGAATAACTCTTTGTTCAAATTTATTACCAGATCAGTGTCATTAAGAAAATTTTCCAGCGGACGTTTTTGTCTAAATTGTATTGTGTGGTTCAACAAACTAAAAAAAAGCAGGGATTGCAAACATTTTCCATTTAGATAACACAATTTAAGCTGATTAATGTATGATCTTTGTCACATAGCATTTAGTTTTTCGGCCCAGGTAAATGCTAGCACACAAACCAAATCCTAACAATAACAAGCGCTTCCGCATGAATTTTCCGTGACTAGTAATTTCAACCATGGAAAACGTCTAATGACCCAAAGAGCCTCCTCCATGCTATATGCATCGAGGTGTGACAATGTAATGACCAAAATGTCCAAATTTAGCATAGGTACTCCCAAGATATTAGTGTGTGTCGAAGAATAATATGCCCATAAATATTTTATTTTATTAATATTCTTTCAACCAATATTTGCCTTTGTTTTAGTTCTTTAATCCGCTATTGACTTTACTTAATCTTAGCTCATCTCGTCATTATTTTTCATGGATTGTTTGGTTGAAAACAAAATTCATCTTACTTGCATACGGACCAACACATGAGCAAGGAGGTGCACTGCACCTCCTCTCGCCGGAAAATTCTTTGGTGTGGCTAGAATTTGCCCCTTTGCTGATGCCCACCACATGTTCGATTAGATATTTGAAAGAGACTTCGTAATATTCAATTTGATTTCTGCTTCACATAAACTTGTTGTCTCCCAAATTCTCTTAATGGTGTATCTCTATTTAATAAATATCCATGAACTTTAATCCCCCTTATTTGGCATCTGTCCTTTCTTAGTTTCTCAACTTCTAAGTTAATTTTGTTTTATGCATATTTCACTTTTATTTATTCAAAGTCTCTCTCTTTCTTGTTGACTAATGTAGATGGGTTCATTGACTCCTTGCACTTGGATTTCCCTCACATACTTTTAGCCTTTTAAATGTTGTCACTTCCCTTAAAAATTCATAGATTCGTCATTGCTTGCATACTAGTAATCGTATGTTCGAACTTTGTTTTACATTCCTACACAAACCAAACATGGGAAATGAATTTCTATTTCTCATCTCTTGAGAAAAGACATGGAAAATTATTTTTCATCAAATACTTTCAGCGAACCAAACGGGTGACTGTCACTTGTATTCAAAAAGCCAGAACTCAATAAACCTCAAGCTCATTCGCATAAGCATTTTGGGCGGGCTTTGAGCGGAAGAGTTTTTCAGTGTACCCAACCCAAACCTCGACCCAAAACCCCATTTATGCTCAACTCGACAAAATGTTCGAAGTCACCGAGATAACGGCTAACCCAGTCTCCTCTCTCTGCAAATGTTCCTCTCTCTCACGAGTAGAGTTGGTAAGTCAAGGCTTGGCTTTTTCTGCACTCTCCATCTTTTCCTCTTTGCCCAGTTCAGGATTGTGACCCAAATGATTCGTAATATATGTGCATATATCCATTAAGTTTATTATTTAGGCGATTTTCATGATCATAATTGATATGCGTCGGTTGGAAATTTTACGAATTCTTTGATTTTTTTTATTATTTATTTTTTTTAAAACCCTTGGAAGTTGGTAATTTCTATATTTACTTTGGGTGTAGAAAGCTAATTGCTTTGTAAATCAGTTTCTTTGCTGCTAAATCTTGTAGTTTGTTCGGGTGATCTCCCAACTTATTGTGTGATAAATTCCGCAATTTTAGGCTAGTGAGGGAGGATTTATGATACAAATGAAAGATAATTAAGGGATTATTCATCGTTAACGTAATAAGGATAGCTTCAACAGAAAATAAATAAAATTATCAGAAGAGATTGGTGAGGTGAGATTTCATAAGTGGAAATTCACCAAATGACCCGGGCAATACCGTACGATTCCCTCCATTCGCACTAGACTAGGTCCAGTTCTCTTAGTAGATAGGCCGACCAATGGTTTATTTTAAGAATAGGTTATTTGTCTTTTAAGCTAATTCTGCCTTGTTTCAATATTGTATTTGATTTCATAGAGACACCATGTTTGTGAATTTTACACTAGTTCATGTCATGTAATGCTGATACTTCTATTTTCCTATCTCTCATCTGGACCCAGTTTTGACCCAATCTTCTCCTTGAATGAGAATTTACCAAGAACTGGATAATCTTTCGTTTGTTGGAAAATGGCAAAGAAAGGAAGCTCAAAGTTGAATATTGCTATTATTCATCCCGATCTGGGTATAGGTAATTTCTATTTCTTCTTGTTATCATTGAAGATTGTAAAGAAGTTGTTTTGGCCTTATATTGTTGCAATGTATGTGCAGGTGGAGCTGAAAGACTAATTGTTGATGCAGCTGTGGAACTCGCATCCCATGGGCATAACGTTCATGTTTTCTCAGCGCACCACGACAAAAATCGATGTTTTGAGGAGACTATTTCTGGTGTGCCTTTTTTGTACTTCAAATTTATCTTTGAAATCATGGTATTTGTGAAAATGTGGTGGGGTTTAGTTAGTGTTGGAGTGTGTATGGCACAACAAATCAAATAGGAGTGTGTTCGTCAATCACTAAAACTCTTGCCCATATTCTTTGCTGAATACTATTGTTTTCTTTTGACATAAAGTTGCAAAAAGAGGCATTGTAATGCCATTTGAAAGTTGAAATCAGAGATGTACATGATGACCTAGTTTACATACACAAGAAGATAAAATTTTGTACGCATCCTTTTGATTGAGGAAGAAAATAAGTCACAGTAAAATACTGGAAGATTTCAGGTTCAATTAGTCTTGGTGTGTGTATTCTAGGAGTAGCATGGTTAGAAATACAACCTGTCTTGAGAAATTCATGGCACGTGTGTGCTACTAAATAGTCGGATGGGTGTTAGGCCTTAGAGTTGGAAGGTGACTTATACTTTCTGCTTCCTTTTTGGGGAACCTGTTCTCAGTTTAGTGTTGATTAGCTATCATTCAAAAGCAGTGCATAGTTTGATGTTTAATGTTATCGGTTTGTCAGGTACCTTTCCTGTGACTGTGTATGGTGCTTTCCTACCCCGACATATATTCTATCATCTTCATGCTTTGTGTGCATATCTACGGTGCCTTTTTGTTGCTCTGTGTATGCTAGTCATGTGGCCATCATTCGATGTGATACTAGCGGATCAGGTTTCTATTGTCATCCCATTGCTGAAGCTGAAGAAGTCAACAAAGGTGCTTGAACCTATCTTGTACGAATTGTTATGTAGCAGTGTTTGCTCTTATAGTTGTTTTATGTGTTGCATCTTTGTGTGCAGGTTCTGTTTTATTGTCATTTTCCAGATTTATTGCTGGCTCAACATACAACTATTCTAAGGAGGATATATAGAAAACCTATAGACTTCATAGAAGAAATGACAACTGGTCTGATTCCATTTCTTGGTTATATCGTTTTATGTGATGTGTCTACTGCATCTCTTTAGTTTGCTGTGTGTATACAACTATTCCTTACCACGTTATTTTTTTAAATGATACTGCTGCAGGAATTGCAGATAAGATTCTTGTTAATAGCAAATTTACAGAATCTATGTTTGCAAAGACCTTCAGGCGTCTGGATGCACAAGGAGTTCGGCCAGCTGTTCTTTACCCAGCTGTCAATGTGAATCAGTTTGATGAACCCACCAATTCTTACAAGTAACGAACATGTTTGTTTATTTATTGGTTCCTTACTGTTTTAGACATGCTTTTATTATTCCATATCTAACCATTTCTTTGATGACTTTTCTTTGAATTTTATCTGGTGATTTACAGTTTCTGTTCTTCTTTGTTTATTTCCTTGTTGCAGGTTGAATTTTCTGTCCATCAACCGTTTTGAGAAGAAAAAGAATATAGACTTGGCAATTTTAGCCTTTTCTATGCTTCGCACTCTTGGAGGAGATGTGCTTCAAGACCTTAATCTGGCTGAAGCTTCCTTGACAATTGCAGGCAAGTTCCTACTTAGGTATCTGCCTGGGTATATTGAAGCATGTTTTATGCTAATTAGTAACACATCCCTTTTAAAAAAAATATTTTATAGGATATATGTAGCTAGGCAAACAATAAAATGGACTTTAAATTACTATATAAGCTACGGGTTAGTTATGCTTGGTCCTTGTTTTCGGTAATTCTCGATGATATTTGTTTGGGCCATATACCAAAGGATCCAATGCCTACTCGAATGCCTACCAGTTGACATTGATACATTAATGCAACATCATTTCATACTTTGATTGATAGGAGTGCATGAGTTACTGTGCACACGGATGAAAAAATTGATACATGTCCTTTGTTTTAGGTGGTTTTGATAAGCGCTTGAAGGAAAATGTTGAGTACTTGGAGGAGCTCAGAAGTTTAGCGGAAAGGGAAGGAGTGTCTAGTCAGGTTAACTTCATCACATCTTGCTCGACAGCTGAAAGAAATGCACTTCTCTCCCAATGCCTATGTGTTCTTTATACGCCAAAGGTGCTAATTACTTTATTTTGTTCCATTGATTGGATGTAGTGAAGAAATAAATTTGACATGCAGTGTTCAATAATGCAGGATGAACACTTTGGCATTGTTCCTCTGGAAGCGATGGCGGCTCACAAACCTGTTATTGCATGCAATAGTGGGGGACCTGTAGAGACAGTTAAGAATGGCGTAACAGGATTTCTTTGTGAGGGTAACTCAAGAGAATTCTCCTTGGCTATGGCTAAACTCATTCAAGACCCACAGATGGCACAGAGAATGGGTACGGAAGCTCGAAAGCATGTCACGGAGTCATTCTCTACAAAAATATTTGGTCAGAATTTGAATCAATACCTTGTTGATGTTGCTCGGACAAAGAGAGACTGAGAATGAATTAACATAGCAGGATACGCAGATGTTTTGTATTCGCTTGTTTATACATCACTCTTCCCGGGTGTGTTTTCTTTTTTTATTTCTTCGACTTACCATCCATACATCTGTAACTAGTTGTTTAGCTAGTGATTCAGAGAGCTAACATAGTTTTCTGGCTTAACATACAATACCAATTTGCTGCATTTATGAACATTGGAGAGATTCTATAAAGCACAAGTGGCTTGATATATCCTTGTTATACCTAAAACGTTACTAGCTAGTCCCGAGATCAACCCAAAAATTCATCTATTTGTTAATTTAGTTGACAAATGGTTTGTCAAAAGGAAGACGCAGATGCAGGTTGCCCGCTCGTTTGTACCTAGATTCGAATCCCCTTCTCTGTAGAGTAGTTTCGGCTATCTCTTGTATAATGAAAAATGGTCCCAAAAACAATGGTCGAAAGGAAGCTGAGATTTGTTTTGCCAGAAACGAAGGGTGATCGGTGCAAGGGCAGAAATTGGAACACATTTTTAATCACTCGAGACAAAATACTGTTTGCACAGACCTGAATGGATGGTATAGTGACCAAACCAAAAGTGAACCGATCTTATTCTGCCCAAATACACGTTTACCAATCAACAAAAAAGGGTGTTGGGAACCGAAAAAATAGGGTAGTAATTTTTGACGAACAAGTTACAGAATCATTTATTCTCAGGGTATTACAAAATATAAATTTCTGTGAGCAAAATTTCAGCTAAATTGATGCCAAAAATACGATGTCAACAGCGCAAAGACTGAACTGATCAATCAGATTGAATATGCCGCAAAAGAATTATATAATCAATTCAAAATTTCTCCGGAATTGGCTTGAGCTTGATAGCTAACACTGACTGGAAAACCAGCTTGGAAGTTATACTTGAAAACATCACCTAGTCTTTACAATATTCTGACTTGGTCTCCTTCCTGACCTCAACGTCTCCACAATCGACCTTGCTGCTTCTGTTCTTGCATTCGCCTACAATGTCATTCGAATTTTGTAAAGTAAGAATTTGTGACAACTTGTAACATTATGAAGTATATAACAAATGGATGGTCAAGCATGTTTGGGACAAAATCTGAATCACAAACCCAGGCCACCTGTGCATGTGTGTGTGCAGCGAATCTCAGAATCTCGTAACAAATTTTTTTTCTTTTTTTCTTTTTATAAAGAGGGGGAAGGTGGGATTTCTAAGCATTTTTTATTATCAACAAGAATAGAACAGCTCCTCAGTCGCCTGACTTATAAATTTCGAAAAAAACAAAGGTTAATAAACACACACATATTAAGAATATACTTTACCTCTGATGCTCTTTAGAACGCCTAATGAACTCTGCAGGGATATCACGCCCTTCATATGATGCTAATACTTGCCTAATATCTGCTGGAGGATTACGGGCGACAACTGCACAAAAACCAAGCACAAGCAAGCGGTAATGCATTTCTCAGAAACATTAGTTGATTTAACACAAACATGATGAATAGAAATAATACAAGAGCTACTGGTGCTAGAAAATAAATGAAAATTGCAGACTTACATTCAAGAAATGGTATGAAATCCACAAGGGCTGTGTCATCCATCTCATACTTGTATGGCTTTATGATGGCACCATTTTCAGGCTGAAGGCTATTTTCTCGTGCATGGGCACTCAGATAGATGATTTTATTTGGATCTCTATTAAGTTTGGAAAGGTCCTGCCAAGAGAAACTACACCTCATATGCTTTACTAAACACACGTCAAATTCAGATCCAGATTTGTTACAGATGGATTAGCCAATTAAGAGGGAACAGAATTTTTGAATCATTAAACAGATTGGAGTTTATCAATTATTTCATGGTTTGACATGGGACGCGAGTAAGCTTTTTGGTTGCAGCAAACAGTTTGTGCAACTTGTAGTTAATATGGAAATTTTCTGAAAGAAATATTAAGAGATTGGCAAAGGCAAGGTTCACCAATCACATAAAATAATTCCATGCTAAAAGAAGCAATTCAAAGATGTCAAACATCAAAAAGGTACAGAAAAGATGGAATTGAACATCATTTAATGAAACAAGTACCCAACCAACTTACCCTATAATGTTTTCCATTCTGATACTTAGTGGCAGCCTTTCCTAGCCTATATCTTACACAATGCTTTGTGTCCAGTCTCTCCATTACAGGATCTACATACTACATATACCAAGAAACAGTTAGATTCTGTTAGTCTAATTAATTTCCAAGAGAAAGAATGGTAATGTGAAATATTGAAATACCATATTAGAATAGTCTGAATACACGATGATTTCATAAAACTGAGCAAGATGTTCCAAGAAAGCATCAACTCCAGGTCTTTTGATAGTCTGCCAACCCTTTTCTCGCTTTACATGCCAAAAAGAAACGTGAGTACAAGTATCCACACCAAAAAAAAAGAAACAAAAAGAACTTTCAAGGCATGAGGACTGTAGTGCAGAACACTTTTACATGACATGAAAAATGTGGGAAAAGATCATTGCCAAGATGTCATGAGATCACCAAAAAAAACAAAAGACTACCCACTACATCTTCTAAGACCGTGCCAAATCTTGCCATCCTGAAAGAAGGAATTTTTTCAAGTAGGAGATACAACCACCATTTTCCAGTCCTAGCCTTACCGTCCAGTAAGAGTAAAGTAATGTCTCCTGGAGATCCAAAACAAGTGTAAAAACATGTCGCTCCATGGGATGCAAATCTGGAAGAAGCTTCTCTGCATATGGTTCAGTATAACCCTATATGACAGTAACAAGAAACTGTGTCAAACAAATCAAAATGATGATGCTACACTGTGCCGATTGCCGAAGCAGAGAACCAAAACTGAAAGAAGAGAAAAAAGAAAGAAAAAAAAGAGAGAAAAGTACACACTCGAATTTGTTCTTCAATCGTTCTCCTTGCATCAATATAAACTTCGGCTGCTTTAGCAGGCACTGAAATATAAGATAAAAACGAATCAGCATAATGTCGGTAACAAATAGAACTATAATTAGAAAGGATGGCTTGTTTGTGGTACTAAGCAAAAAGTTGCTATTATCAAGTCATGTGCTGCTAAACATCAAGCCCATCAGGTGACAAGTGTCAACCAAATGAGCAAGGTCAATATACTTCAAAACAATAATTATTAACCATCAATATACTTTTTTTACAATATACCATCACTACACAATTCACTTCTCTGTGATAAAGAGTTGGATCAAAAGCTCACATATGTATTTTTGTAATTTTCTGATGTTCACCAACATGATAAAGTTACTATATGCTGAGTAATTAACATATATGAACTACACAATAAAATAAAAGTAAAAGATAATTGAGGTTAATTGATGCATCCTCTATGTAACCAGCTCCAACATAAAGTGAATTAATAGCAGTCAAAATTCACAAAAAGACTGGAAAAACTGCTGAAACTGTGTAGCAGACAAATGTAATGCGTGAGGCATGGCTATTACTCAACAGAGGTGTAGTTCAGGAACCCACCTGTAATTGCAGAAGAGTATACCCGATTTTTAAATTTCTGCAGAACAAATTAAAAACAAAATGTTAATCTATTGAAATTGCATCCCTTCCAAGTACACAGGTAATAAGATAACATAAAGCATCATAATGAGAAAGGCCGCACAACTTCATACGATGGAAACTAATGCAACCTACACTTGTCTTTATTCTGTGTGAATTTTTTTTTTGTCAGAATATTCCGTATAGATTAAAACACAGTTTCTCTGGTTAACAATTGCTAAAATATTTAGTGATGAGTGACTCAATGTATGCAAACTACAGCATACAATGTTTGTTTATACCAAAACTGGATATGCGGATACAATTCATTGTTCTTAAAACCAAGAGACACAAAAGAATCCTAAATAAAGGCATGGTTATCTGGTTTTCCTAAATGAATTTTCGGATACAATCTTGAAAACAACACAGTACCTGAAAATAATAATGTCAATTTTTCAATTTTCAATAACCTTCTATCCGAAAACTCTGAAAATATGCATCCTTGACTAAAACCCCAGCTCACTGCCATGCTTAAGTATTTGGTCAAAATACCCCTGAATTTCAACTGAACCAGCTTGACCAGGTCAAAGGCAGTCGACCAAACACTAACAGCAGTTGACTGTCATCCTCTATACATGTCAAGAATTTTAATATTAAGCAGTTGACAGGAAATTGTTTCTGAAACAATGTGAACTAAATGCATATCCTATTTTCACTCTTCTCAGAAACTCATCTCGAACATGTTTTACAGTTCTCGAATTCAATATGACACATGTCTGGAAATATTAAAACACAACTTCGATTTTGGATTGAATCCCTAGTTTTTCAAAAAAGTTTGGGAAACTAAAGAAGCCTTATATTTTGTTCTTTCTCTTCCCCTCTCTTTTTCAGGTCAAGTTACTCGGATATCATTTATGCAAAGCTAACCTGATAGTTAGCATTTCATGCCAAAGAAATGTAGAAAAATATCAAGTCATTCCCAGAGCCAAGTAACTGCATTCGTAAAACAAAGTTCCAAGTCATACTTACCTCAAGAGCAGGTGCATCATCTGCCACCTTGATATTTGAAGGTGCTGCCCGGAGAGCCTTTGTCTTTTCCTCGATTTCATCCACAGAGTATGCTGCAAAACAAATGCGAATCCAAAATTCACTCTCCCTCTTTCACCAACAAACATAAAGACCCACAAGAATACCAATTAAGCCAATATTACCAACACAAAGCTTTTCTGTTTAGCCAAAACCCACATCAAATTTCGCTTCTACAAGCCAAGAAAAAAGAAGAAACCCAAATTTCACAGTCAAAATCAAACCCCGAATCTTACAACTCTGCATTGGTTTATAAAATCAGCTATAAATGAAAATTCTTCATCATGAATTAATCTAAAACACCCAACACCAAACTTTTCTTGTTCTTTTCACCCAAAGCCCACATCAAAGTTTTCTTCCGAATCCCAAAAAAAAAAAACCAAACAAAAAAGAAACCATCATTTCCAAATCAGCGCAGCTCATACCATAGGAGGCATAACCAACAGTGGCAGTGGCTCCAGTGATCGCGCCAATGAGCGAGTACTTGAGGAAGTTCCAAGCTTTTCCACTTGACGCGTTCGAAGCCTCAGTGCTAGGTGGTGGTGGCGGTGGTGGCGGTGGAGGTGAGAGATCGGACACTAGGGCTTGAGCCCCGATGAGCGGCTCTTTGGGAGGGGTTGAAGCCACATCGGAGCTGAATAGGCGTCGATTACGCTTTAACAACCGGGAGACTAAACGGGATCGAAGCAGTATCGAAGACATTTTTAGGGTTTTAGAGAGGTTTTGCTTGTGATCGCCTGCGCAGGGGGGGTGTTTGGGTATTGGAATTGTTTTGAACTTTCAAGGGTTAATACGGAGGGGTGTTTGGATGTCGGTTGTTTGTAGTGATTGGTTTCTAGTTTAGTCAAGAAACTCTCTGTTTGGCAGCCGACTTCTTTCTTTCTTTTCCAAATATATTTTTATTATTATTTTCTTTTTTCCAAATTTTTGTTTCCATGTTTTTATTAAGAAATGATAACCGGACTCTATTTTATTCCATTTAACTTTTGAACTATTCTTCCTCATCCGACTAAAAAGATGGAACTATTGTCTTAATATGTCACTGCAGCACTAGTCCCGGAATTATCTTAAACTTAAACGCATCATTTTAGTCTTTAACCATAAAATTCGATTAATGTCATCGCCATTCTCTTGATCTCCACATCAATGTTATCCTAAACGTTGATTTTGTCCAAATTTCTTTTTGTCCACACATCAGTTTGGTCCCTTTCGTCACATTCAATCAAAATATTCTTTTAATTTGATCACGTGACGGCACAACACCAACTTAAAGCGTTATTTTCATTCAAATACAACATCTCAGCCATGAAAAAACTAAATCTCATATATTTTACTCGATAAGGCTATGTTCTCTCTTTAATGGAACTCAAATGTAAAATCCTAAACGGACATAATATGACCATTTTGAGCAAAAACATGAGTTGAAGGACTCAAATAAGCTATATTTTGATAAAAGCTCCCACTTAAAGTTGGTAACATAACCAAATTTAACGAAAATTATATGACAATATTGACCAAATTGATGCGTAAACCAAAAAAAATTAAGGATCATATTTAGTGAGCCACTTGTGATAAAACCCTGAATTAAATTTTGTGATGGCTTTATTAACCAGCAAAATCATGGCCTTGTCTTCCTGCCTAGACCAACAACAACCTAACATGAAATACCATTTTGATTTTTCTAATCTTGCTGAAATGTGAGAAAGAATCTTCTCTTTTTTCTCTTTTTCTCCTTTATGGGAAAGCATAAAACTACATAGAAGGTTGTTGTTAGGAAGATAAACAAGTTTGGGGTTGTGCCCATTAAAAGTAAAAGGTTTAGAAAAGTAAAGAAGATAATGAAGATGGTCAAAATCACTTGGAGCCGTGCGCTGCATTTGCAGATCTTCTTTTGCGCCTAACTAATCAAAGGTTAATATGTGATTAGAGTTTTATGAATATATATATCTTTGACATGTCATGTCATGAAGTAATATAATTATTTAAAAATAATAAAAAGTTTACGTGTAAATTAATTATTTATGAGAGAAAACTGCTTAAACTTTTCTTAAGTTACAACTTACATTAAAATCAAAGCTTCCATTATTATGAGAAGTAAGAGCATGATATTTGCTTAGAGATGAAGGATTGAACACCATCCCAAATCAAAACCAACCACAAGTGTGTGTGTGTGTGTAGCATTATTATTCTTCTTATGATTTTCCAAGCAACAACCATACAAAGCAGAATTTTCACCCGCTATATGTCACAACCTCTTGGTTTTGGCTTCCCTGGTGGTAGGAAAGAAAATGTAGATTAGCATGCAGTTGTATACATTTGTATGTTGCCAACTATATTTCTAATAATTAATTACTTGCTTCTTAGCGAATGACGGACTTAGAATTCAAAATGAGATGGGCTAAATTTACCTTACGTGTAGGGTGCGTGAAGTGCTGGAATTTATGCTTGCCGACATGCAGTGCATGGTCATGCATGAAAGGGGGGTTGATTTGGGTGGATTGGGAATGTCAATATAAGGGTCTGTCCCTGCTTCTTAATTCAATGATATTTTTCTTGCCAATGATGAAAGAGATTTTAAGTTTGAATCTTCTTCGATCCGTTGATTAGAAAAGAGAAAAACTAGTTGTAAACTATTTGTATAAGTTAGTCCCATTCTCTAGCATTGCTTGTGCCAATGACATTGTGCTATATTTCAAGGGTTGGTTATAGAACAGAAAGAGTCTTGAATATCAATTATCAGATCTCTTTTTTGGTCCCAGCTCTCCCAAGTGATTGCCTCCATCATAAAGAAGTCAAATCTGAAATTGGTGAACATCAAGATTACTCTTACCTGATGCCTGAATGGGGTGACAGCTAGAAAGTTCAAAATAGTCTAGAAAATAACATGTCAACATCCTCTCCATCTCAAGTCTCCAAATGGCAATTTTCTACTGCTCCACATAGGAACACTATTCAAGGATCCTCAATCCAAGGGTATTTTTGGAAAACAACCCAGACATCCAAAATTACTTTGAAGCCTGACCTATATAACCCTCCAATCCAATCCATGACTTTGATATGTAGATACAAGCTTGCCAAGACTCCTTCAAACTCCTCTGCCTTCCATATCCTCCTCAATTTGCCAGAGTTGCCTCTTTAGCAATTAAAAACTAGCTAGATAGAGAGAGAAAATGGATCAAACTGAGTACCATAGCCAAAACCAACAAACCTTGACTCATAGTTACTACATGTACAACTCCATAGACAATCAGCTTCTGAAAAAAGCTACCAAGTTTTTGCTTTCAGTTTCTGTGGTTACTTTCTGCATTCCCAACTCATCTTTGCTTTCATGCCTCCATTCCCTCAACTTCTACTTCTCCACATTCCCTTACCAGCTTTTCACCCACACCATTGACAAGAACTGCATGTTCCTCATCTGCAATTTGCTATTGGTTGTCCTTGCAAAATGCTCTGGCTTAATCCGGTCCCCGTCCCAGTCTCATCGTACTAATGATGAAACCACCTTCAAGAACAAAGAAGGTGGTTCCGGGTTCGAATCGCCAATGCTAGAGACTGAAGAACCAGCTATGCAGAAGGAAGATGTTAAAGTGGAAAGTACGGAGTCAGCAGAACATGTTGCTGCAGAAAAAGGACAACAAAGTGAGTCTTTGATCAACCAAGTAGAAACAGATGCAGAGAAAGCAGCTGCAGAATATAAAGATCAAAAAGAACAAAAGCCAGAAATCGAGTTTATAGTCTCAGAAGAAGAAGAAGAAGAAGAAGAAAATGGAACACTTGCTGAAGAAGAAGAAGATGGAAATGGAATGTCCAGTACTAGCACTGAAGAACTAAACAAGAAATTTGAAGATTTCATTAGGAGAATGAAGGAAGAACTAAGGATTGAAGCACAAAGACAACTAATCATGGTTTAATTAGTGTTTTAATCAGTATATTTGTGGGAAATACTTCCTTTTTTTACTCATTCATAATTAATTTTCATTATGTTAATTAGTTGTGTATTATGTATTTATAGATGTTAATTAGTAAAAGATTTTATTTTCTACCTTCTTTTGAGTGCATAATAACTATATGAAAACGGTGCTTTGAAGCAGAGATTCATATAAAAGCGACTGCTGCAAGCTTCAAATATTTCATAATGACAATTAGATATACACTTGCCCTGTTGGAGTTTATGGTTGGCTGGGCCCCATTGACTCACAATCTTTTTGTTTGGTGGGAATTTGACAAACTTACATTTGTTGTGTTCTTGGAGAATTGACAGAGGTGATGAAACACTGAATCCCTAGCTCTGTCATGATCATGTCAATCCAAATAATTTTGTTCATTGTTGCTGCTATCAGGATAAAATGTAACAATCCCTAATCACAAAGCAATCTGTCTAATTGTCTCACTGGCTTTACCACTTAAGATCCTTGTGATTAATTTGCTAAGATGAAATTAGTGAAAAGGTCAAAGTAGCATACAAAGGTAGTAGCAAAGCGGCCAAAAAGATAAAGAAAGAAGGAATAATAGCATATATGAGTTTAGGCATCTATAGCCTATAGGTACCTGGTGCCGTTAAGAAATCATGTTGCAAGTATTAATCTTACCAAATTTTAGCAACACGGAAGAGGTATCCAGAAGGAGAATAAAGTCAAAACTCTAAGATGTGACATGGTTCCATTATTATGAAATTTGTAGGAATACCACATCAACTTTTAAGTATATGCACGGCCAATTGAGTTTAGCTCAGTGGAAAAAGATCTTAGCTTGCAAATCAGAGATCCCATGACATGTTGCTTGGTGCGTGTGTGTAAAAAATCTCCTCCCCATCGCTTGTACTAAAAAAAAAAAAAGTATGTACACAATTACTATTAATCACCTAATCTCTATAAAGTGGTGCAACTACCTAGGTCAAGTTTTGTTCACTTTTTTTTTTTATAAAAACGTATCATGTGCCCCTCATGTGGAGGGATATTGTAGTTTATCTATATGTATGGGGTGATGATTTTACCACTTAAGAGCCTTCTAATTAATTTGCTCAGATGAAAATTAGTAAAAAGGTAAAAGTTAGCATACAAAGGTAAGTGGTCAAAAAGCAAAAGAAAGAAGGAATAGCATATAAGAATTTTGGCATCTCTAGCCTATAGGTAACCCATGCCCTTAGGAAACATTTTATCCAATATTACTAGATGTGACATGACTTCATGATACCCAACATTCACTTCCCCAGAACATCCAAATTCATTTCAGGTGGGATAATTTTGTAGCCCTCTCTGAAGTTCTGAACAAAATCAGACTTACACATGTCAAGTTCCTGATCAGTAGGATTTCAAATTCCAAACCATTTGGCAGTTGTTTGGATAAAGTTAAATGCTTGAAAGTAAAACAGTGCATAAAAAAGCCACAGAATTTTGTTTCCATTTCTGAAAGGGATTGATTTTGTATTCTGCTAGTGTTGTTTTAAGTACAGGTGGCTGGAAGAATCCCTGTAGTCTTTACACTGAAGTGGTTGGAAACTCAGGAGCCTTCATTTTCACCCCTTATTACATCAACAAAGCAGTTTCTTCATAAATGATGTATGGGTCCTTCCTTCCTTCAGGATGAAGTTAAATCTCAAACTTATTTGTTTGATTCTCACATTCCATATACCAATCAATGAAAGTCAGAGAGATATGTTAGCACTTGTAGCACCTAAGCTTAAAAGTTTTTTTTTTTTTTTCAGTGCAAGCGATAGTCTAAACTATAGGAGAGGAGAATTTCTCACACACACACGCACAACTTAAAGATTATTTTTTTGTTAAGAGAGTTTCACCTAAAACCAAAGGGAGACATTCATAAAATTTGTCAGGCATCTAAATCCAAATGAACTATGCCTAAAATGACATCTAAATTTATCAATTTCTTAAAACTCTACATAGTGGCAAGATGAAGAAGCTCTGTGTCCTCGTGCAGGTTAAATGCAATATCATTTATCCGTAGAAAAATTCGTCTCGTGTTGAGGCATTTTATCAAACACATTGCCTTCAAAGCACTAATGAAAGAAAATTATATTTGATTGACCCCTTTTGGCCTTTAATTGATACCCAAGTGACCTAGTATTCTTGAGTAGAGATCCAAGTGAAGATTTTTTTTATGCTCATCGTTTGTTACATAGAGCCATCAAATTTGTTCGCCAATTAATTAGCAATACACGTGTTAAAGTTCAGAGTGCACTTAAAGTTTGAACGAATGAAACACTGCCACATTAATTTGGTGTAACAAAATTCACAACTTTGGACAAAAATCCTTCTAACATGAAAGTTGAAGGAAATAAACACAGACTTCAAATTGAGTATTTACATAATGCGCATGTCATCATCAAGAAAACACTTTGCTAATTAATAGACATTCAGCCCTATACCAAAACCTAGACTTATTCCAGCACCTTACATGATAACGCATATAGACTTTTTACCCGAGCTGGCCTCTGATTTGGGCACCCTCTTTGTAGCATTACCGGCCTGCGGAAGTGCTGGTGGTTGTGGTGGCAATGATTGCGATTGTGATTGTAATTGTAGTGGCTGAGATTGCTGTGGAACTGACGACGATGTTGATGGTAATTGTAACGGTGGCGGCGGCGGCGGCGACAATGGCATCATTATGAGACGACTTGGATCATAATAATCAATCCCTCCAAATGGTGGACAGGGATAATAAGGTTGCACCGCATAAGGGTTATATCCATGTCCATATCCATATCCATGTTCATGTCCATATCCATATCCATCTTGTCCAAAACAATCGTAGCCCTCCTTGACCTCGCCATCAAACGTAAGACTTTTTAGCTCTGCATGTTTCCCTGACCCATCAAGCACCATTAGAAGTGTACTTGGATTTACTTTCCCTGAAACTTTCACTGTCCCTTGCTCTGCATCTATGTCAATTTTATAGACACCTAAATTTCAAAATAATAATAATAATAAGTAAAAAATCCTTAATAAAAATAGAAGATATGCAGTAGCAAAACCATTTATTTTCTAGAAAAATAAGAAATAAGAGAGACGAAAAAGGGAAAATACCATAGATGTTCTGCAAGACATCATAGATCTTTGTCTTGCATGCTTTACATTTGATGTTCACTTTCAGAACACAAGTCTGCAAAAGAATGAAATAAAATATATCAAATGCCATGAGATATACCAAGAATAAAATTTATAACCCTCACTATGATTATAAATAAATAAAAACAGTCAGTGGGTATAGCTTAGTTGGTTGAGCTCTTCCACCTCCATCCATGTGGGAAGAGGTTCGAAACCAAACACCCAATGAATATTTGTGTAAACCCCCAACCCCATCGCTTGTACTTACCGTATCAAACAAATAAAAACAAAGTATTGTAAGAATTCTAGTCTAACCATTTGTGCAATGGAAGAATCCATGAGAGCAAATTCTGATAAAATTTCTGCAATGGGTTCTTGCAGCTTTGCTTGAAAGGTTCGTATAGACCTTGACTTTTTTCTGTGTCATCATTTATAAATTAATTTTCGTTGAGATAATTACTAGTATTTGTATATTTTGTAGTTGTATTTTGGCTGTCACATTCGCAATTAATTCCTAAAATCTCTCTTCTCGATATTCCTTGTAATTTTGATTGGGACGAAATATTATGTCCAGTTGTGAAATTACTGTTTCCAGCACGTAATGGTGAAATTACTGTTTCCAGCACGTAATTAAGTTACATTAATTTTACTTTTCGACTTTTACTTCTTAATTTTGATTGAGAAAATATAAGTGTGAATATAGGACAGTTGTCTTTGTAAATTCGTCACAAATTCCAGCTATGCTCACTTTCTTCATGCTTTTAAGAGAATCTCTCTCTATCTCTGCAATTATGAAAGCAAGGCAAAAGTCAAATGAATTAAAAAGAAGATAAATATCGAGGAAATACCAAAAAAGTAATTTCACTTCTTCTTTTTCCGGGAAAAAGGTATTGTAATTTCTTTATGGTTTTTTTTATATCGCAATGTTGCATGAACTTATACCCGAATTTCAATTTGGTCTCGAAGTGAGTTGCATGGTATGGCCGTGGTTGATTGGAGGGTTAGGAGAGGGGAGAGGAGGAGATGAGTTTTCAAATTGATCGTTTTAACTCTCAAATAGAGAATGTGACGGAAAAACTCAAATGTCACAACTGAGAGAGTTTGATGACCAAATTGACTCCAAAACAAAAATCGAGGACTAAATTGACTCAGGTATAAGTTTAAGGAGTTGGAAAACCTTTTCTTAATATATGAGTTAGGAATGGTTGGCCCAAGTGCACGGTACAACCCACCTCTGTAAAGGGAAATTTGATAGTTTTGGCAGAAGCGATTTAGCCTTCTTCAATTTGTTTTGGAATAAAATTTTCGTGAATTAATTATCACTTTGACCGTTGAATTTAAATTTGGGCCCTTGAATTTTTTTTAAAAGTTAACTCAAGTTTAATAAGACTCATGGCCCTCAGATTTCATCACATTAAAGACACAATTCTGGAGGATCAACATTCAACATGACAATTAGTCTCTGGATGTCCCCCATTTTTGCGCCTCACCGAGATTCGGGTGCGATTAACTGACATTTAATCAAATTCTCTCCCCTATACAATGGTTTTGCAATGAAAATGTGGATTATGCTTTGCAGAAATCCTATAATTTTTTTTTCTCCTATAAGGTAACAAGAACAGATGTAGAAGATGTTAGATGTAGACTCCACCTTCAATTTTAGATGGTATGTACACCGCCGACAAAAAGTTAAGTTCATGCACAGACAACGCTTCTAACTCAAATTTCACTCCTCTTTCCAGCATCAATTGTAGTTCCAATCTAAAAGGACAAAACTACTTCAAGTTACTTAATCCAGTCATATGATGGATGAAATAAGAAAGCTAACAGAGTCTTACCTCCACTCTGGCACTTCTCTTTGTAAGTAGCATCTACGTAACATGGCTTCCGTTTTCCTCTTGTCTGGCATGGTTATAAGGAACCTTATTTAATGTTACTAAAAGAAATAGTAATGCCAATGTAAATAAAGCACCATATCTCTCACCTTGTGCTGTCAAGGGAAGGAGACACTGTTGTGGAAGTTGGTACTTCTCTGAGTCCAAAAGGAAGCCTCCAAGCCAGAGTATCTCAGGGACCCGTAGAAATTTTGCATCATAGGCCAGTTGCTTACATCACAAAAGAGTGGGTTAAAATTGGATTGTAACTTTATTTACATTACACTATATGAGCAGTCTACAAAAGAATTGACTTATTCAGCAGTTCTCAATCCTCAATATTTGCAGTCTTCCTAGGTAGTTCACATGTTAGTTAAGTTTGTAAACTATAGATAACAAGTTCATAGAGTGATCTGGAAGCCTAACCATAGAACCAAACCGATATGTGGACAGGATGTCAAAACCGTACGGATCACAGTCTACCAAGCAATAGGTAGGGAGATGCAAAGTATCAACAAGAAGCCCCAAAAACCTGGCAAACATAAATGAAAAGTATGTAAAGTATATAGACAAAAGGGAAAATAAAGTGCAAACAGATAAGGCAAGGCACTCTGTTACCTTCTTGTGGAAATATCAGGATATCCACCTCCCTGTGAAGAAAACAATAATAGCACACCAACAAAAAAGTTTAATAAAAGCTGTTTCAAGGATCAATGAGAGTTATTTGACCAAAAACAAGGGTGTATGCTTACAGTGATAACGATGCAGTGGTTTGTGTTGCAGAACTGGTCATTTGCCAATCGTTGAAAAACTATACAGAATACGAATAATGGTTTGTTCATAGAAACACACATCAAAATCAAATGATATCCAGCTAAAGCACCAGGGTTGCTAACAAAAAGAGCAATTACCTGATTCTTTCTCCACAACAAGTATGTATTTTGCTACACTAACAATATCTGCAGGTTAGAATTAATGATTTGAGCATGTTTTTGGACTTCAAATGACACTTAGGGTTGATTATGTAATTACCAATGAACTTGTAAAGTTTACATTATCGAATTTGAATATCCATTGATTTTAAACAAGAAAATTTTAATATTTTAATTAGTTCTCTCTTAGTTATCATCTGAATACCTTTGACCTCTTCAACATGAATGGGAACAGGAAAGGCCTGTACATGAACCAGATGCAGATGTTTAAGTTCAGACACAATAAAAATACGATTATGCAGAAGATGTCATCAAATCATTGTTTTTAAAAAAACATGTTCCATTCTTACAGTGTTTGGCCTATTTATGCAATCAAACATGTTTCCAGCTTCTGAGAACCTTAACCAGCCCATTACCAACCTATAATGAGATAAAAACATTAATTATCAGTATGAGTTGACAATACTTAAACCATGATCACAGTGATATCAACTCAACGAAAAAGTACCATAAACATTTGAACAATTTTACCAATATTGTAAGGAAAGTTGAACCATACTGAACTAACAGGTGCAAGCCCCAGGAATAACAATGTATTCAACGGACCAAGAATACACAAATGTAAATGTAAATGATGATTGGCATAAGTCATTTTTATGAAAAATCAAGCAGCAATGTATGCCATTATCTTCTTGTCTTCGAAAATCAAGCGAATTTTCATGCATACCCTTTTCCTACAGACACCTGCCAAAAGGAGGCAACATGAAGTAAATAACCCAAATGCTGTATGCGGCCTTATAAATTATTTGAAGCTCATGTGGCAATTTCAAGAGTCTAAAGAATACTACTACTTTTACTAATCATACATAACACGTTGGAGCACATTACTATATATAAATAGCTATAAATTTGATAAGGCCGATATAAGAGTACCCACCACGTTCAGATTGTGACGACTGCACTGCATAAGGATGCATATGTCATTGATCGCACGGTCTACAATTGACTGATCTGCATTGTAAATTAAGCAGAGAATATTACTAATTACTTGGAGAGGAGAGACCATGGACATAATGCATCAAGAATTTCCCATTAGAAAATATCACATCTAATCAAATATACCATATGTTCTCATATTATCTTACCACAAATCAGTAGGCCTCAATTTCTATGCCCATGATAATTTGAAAAATACAATGCATTTTTACCAAGGTTTAATTCGTGTAAAAAGAAGAATAACATTTATCATAATCCAAGTTCAAGGTCTTATAACAAACTATATCGTACAGCCCATATACTAAGGATTTATTCTTTGACATTGGAAATGAAAAGTAACTCAGATTCACCTGAAAATACAGAAGGGTGCATGTAATAGATATCTCTCTTAGACCCATGTCTATTTTCTTGCAGAAGTTGCTGAACAATTACTAGAACCCTAAGCAAAACATCTGAAACAGATTCGGGGAACCGGGTAATCAGTAATTCGTACATTACATAAATCTCTTGTACATTTATGATAGAGTTCAATTGTCTGTTATGTCCTTAGGCTGCCAATCAAAAATGGAAGATGAACACTTATTTCAGCTCATTTTGAAAAAAGTAGTCTGTGTATTGTTAAAAAACGAAAAACAAAATCTAAGCTGCACTACATGAAAAGTTAAATACCATACCAAGCGCAACGTAACCTACCCAATCTACGCAAATGGCTTTCCCTTCGAAGTGTGAGAGTCTCCTTCAAAATTGGCAAATCAGAGCTACAATAACTGCGCATAACAATGTACCAGTTTGGATAACTAATTATTAATTACTACCCAATCTACGAAATAATTATTAATTTTCCCGGAATATCGCACCCAAAGAAAAAAAAGAATACTGAACATATTAAGAACTCTGTGGTGCTTGTTTGGTTGCTGAGAAAAACCAGGAAAATCTGAACGATCAACTAAAATCGAGAAAGTAAGCTTAGCATTTAACCAATTCGAATCGGGCTTCGTGCAGTAATTTCTGAAGCGATCGATGAGAATCTCCGGAGACCGTCCATTGCTGAGATCTTCAACTATAGCTCGAGTTAATTCTGCGCTCCAAAAAAATTTAACAAAAAAAATAAATGAGAAACTATAAATTAGCTTCTACTTGAAGAAATTGATTTCGAATTGGTTTACAATATATGAATTGACACCTCTGATTTTTCTTAGCAAATCGCAAGGCCGAGGCTGTGAGCTCCATCTTGAGTGCTTTCCCTCCATAATTCTTGCGTTAATGGCGATTCTTTTAAAATGATTTCTGGGTATTTATAAGCTTGCTTGTGGGCCGGGTCAGTTTAGATCCGCTTGGTAAGGAATAGAACTTAATTAACTTATGTGTTTGTCAAACTTGGGCCTTTTAAACTTGGTTCTGGTGTAGAAACCATTTACTTTCAAGAAAGCAGGGAACTTAAGAATAAGGGAATAATGAATTTGTAATCGGTATCGGAATCATTCCAATTACTCATTCTATGGTAAAAATTTATAATCAAATACCTTCCAAACTATGAATCATATCAACTAGGAGGAGTAGTTAATCCGATTCCAATTCCTTATTCTCAAATTCTTCAATTGCCCGATTCATGACTTCCGAAAGTTAACATGCCATAAATCAGTAGCAATTGTAAACTGGGAAAATATGAGCTAATTGAACAAATGCTAAAGGTAGCAATTGGATTCAATAAAGAGAATGTGACCGACCAACCTTTATCCACCCATAAGATTAAAAGCTCACGTCTTTTATTCAACAAAGTCATTTACTCTTCTTGATGGAAGTTTTGTGAAATTCTAAATAGAGAATAGAAGACTTTGGTGAGCATATGATGAGTGAGTGAATGAGATATATTATGATGAAAAGTCCTTTTTAAAAATAAAATAAAAACTTGTTATATAATGACAAACGACGAGCTTTAACAAAATTTTTGATGAAATGCAATGACCGAGACCAATTTGATGGATTTAAATTCAAGGAGCATTTCTGATATAAAAAAATTCTTAAGAAAAACCGTGCGTTGGTGTATTAATGACGGTGCCTCCTCCACATGTTGTGGCTCATCGTCCTACACGTCGCACGCGGATCAAACACAGTTGAGAGGCTTGGACTTCCAGACTGAGATGTTCCAGACGTGTGAAGAATTGAGAAGCAGAATTCGAAGATGCAGCTTAATTATTCTGGTGGCTGGTGAGTTTTCTCTCTGAACTAACTTTGATACTTGAAACAGAGTTAGTTATGTCAGTTGGTCTGAGAGCAGCAACAGCCCTCACTCAGCTTAAGGTTTTCATTTCGAACTGGTGTGCTATCTTTCGCAACCCGCCTAAACTGTTTAGCTTTGCAAGTCTTCTAATGGCTATGGATGATGTGAGGGAACCTTTGATTTCAGCACTAGGAGATCCTTCACCTCAAACAAATCAAAAGAATCCTATGAAGAGTAGAACATATCGCCGTTGCAAAAGTGCTCCTCTTGCAGAGTATGTACCCTTAAAGACAACCGACACTGGCTCAGTTCCAGTTACTGAATCCATTCTTCAAAATTTACGCCCGAATTTTCAGAAAGTAGCTCTATTCTTGGCTGTCTACTTAGGCATAGGAACTATCTGCTTCTACCTCGTCAGGAACCAGATCAAGGGAGAGAAGACAAATGGAGTTCTTGATGCTGTTTATTTCTGTATTGTGACAATGACCACTGTTGGATATGGAGACCTAGTGCCAAACAGCATTCTTTCGAAACTACTGGCTTGTGCTTTTGTCTTCACAGGAATGGCTCTTGTTGCGTTGATCTTGAGCAAAGCAGTCGACTACTTGGTTGCAAAGCAGGAAATATTTCTTGATAAAGCCTTACATATGCATCAAAAAGTAGGTTGTATTGAAGTTCTTAAAGATGTTGAGACTAACAGTTTGAGGTACAAATGCATTGTGGCCTTTATCCTTCTTTCGGTAATCATAATTGCTGGCACAATCTTCCTAGCTACTGTTGAGAAATTGGACCTTGTGGATGCATTTTATTGCGTTTGTTCTACCATCACAACCCTGGGGTATGGAGATAAGAGCTTTTCAACTCGAGCAGGGCGTGTTTTTGCAATATTCTGGATATTGACAAGTACCATTTGTTTAGCTCAGTTTCTCCTCTACGTTGCTGAGCTAAACGCCCAGAACAGGCAAAGGGCATTGGTCAAGTGGGTTCTTTCTCGTAGGATGACAAATGTAGATTTGGAGGTAGCTGATCTTGATGGTGATGGGGTTGTTGGGTATGTGGATTGTGATTTTTTTTTTTCTGGGCTTATTTCTGAATTCTAATTTGCTGATGGTTTCAAAACAAACTATCCATTCTCTTTCTTGTCCTTTTTTTTTTCATAGGGCTGCTGAATTTATCATATATAAGCTCAAAGAGATGGGGAAGATTAGCCAAGAGGATATTAGACTTGTGATGGAGGAATTCGATGATCTCGACGTTGATAAGTCAGGGACCTTGTCGACATCAGATATAATGCTTGCTCAACCACCTCAAACAGAAAAGTAACTCTGGGATTTTGCTGTGGTTTCACGTTTACCTGGAAATGTTGAGTGTCTCAAAAGTTTCCTGTTAGTTTGTGCTATGTATGTTTGCTTACCCTTTCTGTGATATAAATCTTTATACATAAGGCCATATCAGAAACACTCCCAATATATCTCTTCCCTATGAACACTTCGGTTAAAATGGTTAGACTGCCTCAAAGCATTTTAGTGATCATTGTTCATTTTGGTACTGGATTGATGCAATGTGTGAAATCAAATTGCACGATGACAATTGCTAGCATTGAAATTTTGCATTTCCATGACCACGAAAGGCTTCACTTGTCAGCGACATCTAGTGGACACACAAATTTTTGCTCCTTCATCAGATTGTAAAATAGGACTTTTCTAGCAACCTAAAGAAAGTGATTCATCAAATTGGAATAAACCTTTTTTTATTGTGAGAGATTATGATGTTACTTATACAATGTTATATGCTTCTGCATTTAGATTTTAACTTGAAAGGAAAGGAAAGGATCTGTTCTCTTTGAGTTGGGCTAGGCAAGACACTTCCTATTGCCCAGATTCAAATTTGGATTTGGCGTTATATGGTGGATCTGAGCCCAGCAGCAAGCACATCAAAGCAATGCCTCACTCAGATGCAAGGTTTAAAATATCAAGGATAAATTACTCAGGAATGTTCTACAAGGGTTTAGGGAATGTTCTACAAATTCTTCTGGGATATTGTCAAACCCATTGTCTGTGGCACCACTAGTGATCTTCAATTTGGTCGATGCCGTTTGGAAGCCCTTAATAAGACGTTCATTGCTCTGATTCCTAAAGTCCAAGCGCCAGTGAGCACTAATCAGTTTAGGCCAATTGGCCTATGCAACAACTCTTACAAGATTTTGGCTAAAGTCATTGCAAATAGACTGAAATCAATTCTCCCAGACATCATTTCTGAAAACCAGAATGCCTTTGTGCCAGAGAGGCAAATCCAAGACAATATTCTCATGGCACATGAGACATTTCATTATTTGAAATTAAAGAATTCAGGGGGTGTACATGAGGCGGGTTTAAAGATCGACATGAACAAGGCTTATGATCGGATTGAGTGGGATTTTCTAGAGGCTGTAATGATGAAAATGGGCTTTGCTAGAGTTTGGATCAACCTCATCATGAACTGCATTTCTACGGTTTCCTTTGCAGTTATTATCAATGGCCAACCGGGTAAATTCTTCAAACCGACTCGTGGCCTAAGGCAAGGGGATCCGCTTTCTCCCTGCCTATTCTTGCTTGTGAGTGAAGCCCTCTCGAGAAACTTGTCTAGTGCTGTTCATAATGGAGAGATCAAAGGCATCCGTATCGCACGTAGATGCCCAATGATTTCCCATCTGTTTTTCGCCGACGACGCTTTGTTCTTTGTGAAAGCTGAAGCTCAAAACTGTATGAAGCTAAAAGAGAAGCTGGACAAGTATTGCTTAGCCTCTGGTCAGTGCATCAATTCTCAAAAATCCAGCCTTTTTTTCTCTCCCAACACTCCAGCAAATACTAGACATGATATTTGTACTCTTATGAATATTAATGGAGTTGACAACCCTGGAATCTATTTGGGCCTTCCAACAATCTGGGGAAGATCCAAGAATGCAGCTCTAGGCTACATCAAAGAGAGGATCCGGAAGAAAATTGATGGTTGGAAACTCAACTCCCTTTCTCTTGCTGGGAAAGAAGTTCCTTTAAAGGTAGTAGCAACTGCTGTGCCAGCTTTTCCTATGACTTGTTTTCGTTTCCCGGAAGGAACATGTAATCAAATCAACAGTGACTTGGCTTCATTTTGGTGGGGCAATAATGAGGAGAGCGCTGGAATTCATTGGAAATCCTGGAAAAAATTATGCTTGGCCAAGAAAGTGGGAGGTTTGGGATTTCGTGACTTGTCCAACTTCAATTTAGCTCTTATAGCTAAGCAAAGTTGGAGAATTATTTTGAACCCTGAAGCTGCTTGGGTTAAGATCTTGAAAGCGCGTTATTTCCCTACGACTGACTTCCTTAATGCAACTAAGGGTTCTCGCCCTTCATGGGCCTGGGTCAGCTTTCTTGAGGGAAGAAAGGCAATGATGAAAGAAGCACGCTTCCAAATTTTTAGCGGCGCAAACACGAATATATGGAACGATGTCTGGATCCCTTCCTGTGAGTCGGGACCTGTGAAAACTTTGCAGCCAATTCCTCCTCAAGCCCCCCAATTGGTCCAAGAACTAATGGACAAACAAAACCACACATGGAAGCTGGATAGTATCTCCACCTTCATAAACAATGACATTCTTCAGAGCATCAGATGCATCCCCATTGGTCACTCTTCCAGACCGGATCGCCTTGTTTGGCCATGGAACTCAAGTGGCTCGTATACTGTTAAGTCGGGGTACCACCGTTTTCATGCTAGACAAAATACCGACATTGCAAGCCATAATCACTCCTCACACTTTGTCTCGGAAGGGGTTTGGAAGACCATATGGAAGGTGGAGACTCTCCCAAAAATAAAACTGTTTCTTTGGAGAGCTCTATCTGGATACATCTCAACCAGACTTGCTCTTTTTAAAAGAAAAATTGCAACGGATCCTATCTGCCCAATATGCGAAGGTTTTGAAGAATCGGTGGAGCACATTCTTTTTCTTTGCCCGTGGACTCAACTTGTGTGGTTTGGCTCAAACCTCTCCTACAAAGTTGACCCCCGGAGGATCTCGACTTTTGATAGATGGATTGAAGGCATTATTTCGATACCTGGCACTTCAAGAACTGATGGCGATTTTTTATTATCTTTTCTCAGCTTCCTGTGTTGGGAAATCTGGAAGGCAAGGTGCAAATTCGTTTTTAATGGGGTTAGCCCTGATCCGAGGCTTGTGATCACCCATGCTAGAGATGCTTGCTCTGAATACTTAGCGGTTGTCTCCAAGGTTGATGCTAGAGGGAACCTCTCTCCTGTTCATCATGTCCAAGGAACCCGGTGGTCTAAACCAGGCCCAAACTACGTAAAATTCAACTTGGATGGCTCTTGGCTTCCTGGCACAATGAAGGGCAGCATTGGCATTGTGTCTCGTAATTCCTCTGGGGATTGGTGTGGTGGTCTTGCCTCCCCACTTTCATGTGTTTCATCTCTTAGTGCAGAAGCGGCAGCAGCTCTTTGTGCTTTACATCTTGCTAAAAACAGGGGTAATATGAAAGTCATCTTGGAGACTGATTGCAAGGTGTTATTAGATGGCATCTCTGGAAATCATGATAACAACTCCTGGGCTATCCTCCCTCTTATTGACGAAATCCATGATGTGGTTTCGAGCTTCGAAGAGGTGATTTGGTCATGGGTACCTAGGAGTGCAAATCGTGCGGCTCATGCAGCGGCGTCGATAGGTAACAGAGCTATGGAACTGCAAAGTTGGGTCGACAGACCACCATTGTCTCTCGTTGGGGTGTTAACATCTGATGGTTTGCCTTGTCCACCTCTTGTTGCATCTGCAATTTAGTTTTAATTCCTATTAGTAGTTAGTTTGCTGGGTAGGGACTGTTTGTTCTAGGTTTCGGTGGAATCTAGCTATGTCTAACCTTGCTTTTGGTAGTTTGTTTCATGTGTTCTGCTGGCTCTTTGTGGCTTTTGCCTTCTATCTGTATTTTGGGATCTTTTGGAATACAACATGAATTTCAGACCAAAAAAAAATTACTCAAATGGTCTTCAAACTTATACTCGATTTACATTTTGGTCATTCAATTAAATTATTCGTTAAAATGGTTCATGAACTCTATATTAGTCGCTCCATTGGTCCTACCGTTACATTCTGTCAATATTTCCGTTAAATATGAGGGCAAATTGGTCATTATTTACCCTAAAATTTGGTTAAATCTAACAAAAAATTAGATGGTAGGACCACTAGAGCGAATAATATAGAGTTGATGGAACATTTGAACGAATAATTTAATTGAGGGACCAAAATGTAAATCAGGTATAAGTTTGAGGATCATTTGAGTAATTTACCCAAATATCAATGGTTTCGGAAATATACGTAGTCCAAAAACACGGAAAATTCAATGGAATATCGGGATATTATTGATATTAATAAAAATTGAATAAAAACCACGGAAATTATAAGAAAAACTTGAAAAAATTCCTTGAAACTTTGGAGGATGTTTTTTTTGTCAATTATCTATTACTTTATCACAAAAAATTGGAAGGAAATGCATTGCATGATGGGTTAACTAATTTAAATTGATTACATAGCGAGCTGACAAATACTGAGAGTGTAGAAAATATGTAATAATTAATGAAAGAATATTAAACACACCATAATCATTTATTTATAATGATTTACAAAAATATTTTACACTTCATATCCTGCATGGTATGATACATGAGTGACTTAGTACCACATAGAGTTCCTGTAAGGTTCAAATTTGAGTTATTTACTCTAACACCCTAAGATTTTCGGCTTTTTCACAAAACTCCTTGAGGTTTTATAAACTACAAGAACATCCTGAGGTTTTATAAATTACAACACCGTGAGGTTTTAAATTGTTTTCACAAAACTCCTTTCATTGATTTTTCATCCAAAGATTGATGATTTTATACCCAAAAAAATTTCTCCAAATGACAAAGTTGACCTTTGAGATTGCATATACTTCATTGACGTTAATTTTGTCATTTGCATAAGTTTTTTTTAATTAAATCATCAATTTTTGGACAAACAATCAACGAAAATGGGTTTTGTGAAAACAAACTGAAACCTCAGGGGGTGTTCGTGTAATTTTTCAGACTTGAGGGGGTTTTCTGAAAACACGAGAAACCTTAGAAGGTGTTAGTGTAAATAACTCTTCAAATTTTTCATTGTCATCATCATCTCAATAGTATCAATATTGTCGATATTTTGGCCAAATATTATTGAAGTGTGAGAGAAATTATCGACATCGATATTTATACGATATGTGTATGGATACGTTCCAAAATACCATTAACCCGAAAAGTGATAATATCCTCAATAGTTCTTCGATACTATCGATATTTTAGACTTTGCTCATATGTCAAACGAAAATTATTGTGGGACTATCTATAAGAGGTTGATGACTAATCCTCATTCCCCTCTAATCCTCTTGAAAATGGTGGGATTATGAGGGGTAAGTTTAGTCATCAACTTCTTATGAATAGTCATCATTCATCCTCCAAGTTAGACAACAATATTCATATTATGCCTTAATTGCGAATGAAATGTAGGCATTTTGCTAGTGTAGTCCAATCTAGTCCACTCCTCCCCTATTGAACAAGGGGCAAATTTTTTCTCCTCTCC